CTGCTGAAGGGAAGTACAGACTGCACGCCATTTCTTGAAGGCAAAGGGATTCAGAAGTCTAAACAAAACTGATCCACTGTTTACATAATTCAACCACTACCATGAAATCCAAGGTCAGAGCAAATTATACTAAAAACATTTTAAATTAATTCTCACTTACTGACTCCTATAATGTTACTGTAAATCAAGCCCAATTCATAAGACAACTACAATATAAGACTTAGGAACTCAGGTAAACCCTCAGCGTACAAACTAATTGCGTCCTATGAACCATAGTCTTGATCACAGTGCTTCACGGCTAATTTATCTTTATGCCTGGTTAATCTCTGCTTATTGACATATGTGAAAATACAATTTCATCATCCAGGACTGACATCACCCTACAGCTGCCTCTAGATCTGCTAGTACTGCTCTTAACCTTCTAGTACAAACAACTATGCATGAGTACGTATATTCTCAGTATTTTCAGCAGGTAAAAACAGGGTCCTCCTCTAGGCTTTGTCTGTGTTCAGCAACTGCTGAACAGAAACCACCAACATAGATTTTGAGTGTGGCCAGCAGCAGATGAGGGGACAAAACAAGCTACCTGGACAGCGTCATCTCGTTAGGAGCAGCACAAGCCTCAGCTCACTCGGATGACAACAGTCCTAGCTTGCTTTTGCTCTATCCAGTGCCAGTGCAGCAAGAGCAGCAAATGCAGCTTAGCTCTGACGAGATCTTCAAGGTCGGCGCTGACTGCAGATGTGGGCAATGGACACCTGATGCTGAGCTGGCATTACTCAGGAACGCAGACAAGGCCCTATCGTCAGATTTTTAATTGCAGCCACAAAGGCAGTAAGGATGTGGACGGAGGCACTTTGCGTACAGCTGTGTTGTTGCCTGCCAGCTACTCACACCAGCCGCAGCTGCTCTTGTTAGAGCTCCCTGTCCCGAGGCAGCTAAAGTTAGCGAAGACCAAACAACTCAGCGTATTTTAGTTACGCTGGTCTTCCTTGGAAATACATTAGAAAGTCGTCACACTCACATTTGTAGTCAAGAGAAGTGATCAAGGGTTTGTGCTAGCAGCCTATTCCAGCGGCACAGCTGGATCTGCAAAAGAACATCTGTCCACAGAGTTTTTTCAGTATCAGAAGAGTTTTTTTGCTTGGATCCAGGCAAACTGGGCCCACAGCAACTTAATCACCATTTCTTTCAGGTCCTTTTGGAGCTGCTGGCTGGAGAGGACAGAGTACGGCCATCCTTCCACCCTGGTCTGAGCACGCTGGTTTAGGATTAACACGGGAAATAGCTGCAGCCCCTTGTGAGACCATGGGGTCAGCCAGCAGCCAACCGACTCTCCTGTTAATAAATCAGTTAATTGCACAGCAAGAGGCACTTTCGCTCCATGCAAAATTACAGGGTTAGACATGGTTAGCTACTTAAGGAATCTGATTAATACAACTTCCTTAACTGCCTTCTAATATTTATTATTACATTGCGCTATAGTTTGGTTATTTACTTGTCCAAAGAACTGTTTGCCATGTTTATTAAGGAGATATTTAGACACACTTAAGGCAGCTTTGAAAAGATATTT